ATTCACAGTGAGATAGAACAGAAATAAAGAATTCCATAGGTGGATTGAAAAGCAGAATAGATATATTCAAGATAGAGGAGCGGACAGAAGGAAAGCCAGTAGAATTGCATCTAGATCAGGGGTGGGCAAACTTTTTGACTCGAGGGCCACAATGGGTTCTTAAACTGGACCGGAGGGCCGGAACAAAAGCATGGATGGAGTGTTTGTGTGAACTAATATAAATTCAAAGTAAACATCATTACATAAAAGGGTACGGTCTTTTTTTTTTAGTTTTATTCATTTCAAACGGGCCGGATCCGGCCCGCGGGCCGTAGTTTGCCCACAGCTGATCTAGATTGCAGCCCAGGGAATAACCAATACATTGAAAACACAGCAGAGAGCATGAGAGGGACAGGGGGACCCGGGGAGACCCCTGACGAAGCTGCAATTAGGGGCCCAAAGGGAGAGGGGAGAGAAAGCGGGGCCCAAGCTAAACGGACACAGACGTGCCGCTGCTGACTCAGAAACTCCTGCAAAAACCCCAAACAGCTTCCATATAAAAAAAGAAAAAAAAATCCAGGCACGTTGTCGACACGCTGCTGGAAGCCAGAGGGAAAGAGAAACATCTTCAAGGAAAAAATCAAAGTGCCGTCACACGGCAACAGTAAGATCGGGCTGATATTTCACCGGAGCAGGGGAAGCGAAGACAGCGGAGCAACAGTGAGAAGTGCCAGGTCACCGTCAGCGCCAGCGCCTCACTCAGGGACAGGACCCTTCAAGGGTGAACGTGAAATAAAGATGTTTTCAGACGGAGAGAAAAAAAAGAAGACTGAATTCGCCGCCGGCAAACGGGCACTGAGAGAGAGACGCAGACGTGGTCAGACGGCGAACTGGGAAAGCAATCGCAGGCGGGACACGGAAACAGAAACACGTGGACAGACCTGAACCCGCTGACGGCGTGAGACAGAGAAAGCGGGCCCGTGGAGTTTACACGTCAACTGTGTGACGCAAGAGCGTGAGGGCAGAGGAACGCGGGCGGAGGGTGGAGTGTTGGGTCTGCACGCTGTGCGGGAAATAGCACAAGTGCTCATTGATCTTAGACTCTGATAAGCCAGGAATGCAACGAGCTGATAGAGGGGCAATATTTATTATTTATTTTTTAATATATTTTAATTTATTTCAGAGAGGAAGAGAGAGGGAGAGAGAGAGAAATATCAATGATGAGAGAGAATCACTGATTGGCTGCCTCCTGCATGCCCCGTACTGGGGGGATCGAGCCCACAACCCAGGCATGTGCCCTTGACCGGAATCGAACCTGGGACCCTTCAGTCTGCAGGCCAATGCTCTATCCCAGGGGTCCTCAAACTACGGCCCGCCGGCCACATGCAAATACAAATATTGTATTTGTTGCCGTTTTGTTTTTTTACTTCAAAATAAGATATGTGCAGTGTGCATAGGCATTTGTTCATAGTTTTTTTTTTAAACTATAGTCCGGCCCTCCAACGGTCTGAGGGACAGTGAACTGGCCCCCTGTTTAAAAAGTTTGAGGATCCCTGCTCTATCCACTGAGCCAGACCAGTTAGGGTGAGGGGCAATATTTAATCCAAAAAAGAGGCATGAAAGGACAGTAAGAGGAACACAAAACAGCCAGATGCTGGTGTTTAACCCAGAGACACCGCCAGTACCTGCAGGGCACGCAGGCCGGGCATTCACCTGCTTCAGCGCCCCCGAGTGGCCAATGGACAAGGGGAGGCGGGCTGTGCACGTATATAAGACACTGTTTCCTTAGCAAAATGAGAAGTGAGAACAAGGCCCCGGGCCCCCCCAAATGAGACCCCTTAGCAGCGCCCACTAACGCAGAGCAGATACCCCCTCCCAAGCCAGCGGAGTTTCTTTACATTTCTTTGTTAATCCTCACCCGGGGATATTTTCCCGTGGATTTTTTTAGAGAGACTGGAAGGGAGGGGGAGAGATAGAGAGAGAAACATTGATGTGAGAGAGACACATCGACCGGTTGCCTCCTGCACCAGCCCTGCCCAGGGCTGGGGGTCGAGCCTGCAACAGAGGTATGTGCCCTTGACCAGCATCGAACCCAGGACCCTTCAGTGTGTGGGCCGACACTCTATCCACTGAGCCACCCTGGTCAGGGCCTGAGTCCGCTGTTTTCCCCGATTCCGCTCCCCTAAACATAAGACTCCGAGCCCCATAATCGCTGCCCCCGCCGAGGCGTCCCTCCGTGGGGCTGCGTTTATGTTAACTTTTCTTGGCCTCAGCAATGTTTATTCTTCCCGAGTCCCGAGGAGAAGCTGGCTGTGTCTTTCCCCACAGCCCTTAATCCTGATGAGCCCCTCTTTTCAAACAGATGACGTCAACCCTGCCATTCTGGCGAGACTCCGCAGCGCAGCCCAGGACTGAAATGCCGGCCCTCAAGTTGGAATTTTGTAAAAAAAAAAAAATAAATAAATAACAGAGAGGCCCTAGCTGGTGTGGCTCAGTGGATAGAGCGTCGGCCTGCGGACTCAAGGGTCCTGGGTTCGATTCCGGTCAAGAGCACATGCCCGGGTTGCGGGCTTAGTCCCCAGTGTGGGGCATGCGGGAGGCGGCCGATCCGTGACTGTCTCTCATCATTGATGTTTCTGTCTCTCTCTCCCTTCCTCTCTGAAATCAATACTACTACTACTACTACTAATAAACTAGATATATCTATAGTTTTAAAAAAGAATGGGGTTCTAGGGCTTATACTCTGAGGACAGGACGCCCTGGCAGCCAACCGACTTTAATTTAGCCCCAACCCCACACAAATGGAAGGCGTCCCAGCTGCTCCTTTAACACATGCAAATGCACCGACAGTAGATGGCACTAAAATTAAACCCACCTCAAACGCACCCCACCAGGGGAGGACTATTCAAACATCTGCTTGGATAAACTCCCTATTTCAAACACTGAAAAAAAAAATTATATATGTATAGTTTTGGGAACTTTTAAGGGACTTGCGAGAGAGCAAGCCTGACGAGCCGTAAGACAGCACGCCGTCTGCTCTCAGCTCTCACCGGACAGGTCACAGCAGGGACACCAGCCCTTACACCGAACGGAGAAAGGAGACTCACACCATCTCAGGGAGATGTGACCAAGCCGTGGAGCCCGGCACCAGGCAGGGGTTCTGCGCCCCATTCGGCTGGGACTTCACCCCCCTCCTGAGTTAGGGCCAAGCCCCTCTTCACACCCACACGGACCCTTTCAGCTCTAGGTCTCTGCTCCTCATCACCGGGCACGCTGTTGCCACCGCAGACCTCGGGTCCCTCTCCGTGCAATGGGGACGCCCTCCGTGCCCAGCAGCATGTGAGGGCGGCGTGAACGGGCCAGGGGGGGCGGGGGAGGCGGGTGGCCAGTCCGGGTGCCACGTGCCCTGGGGGGAGGGTGGTGGGGATGCACATACCTGGGTGTGCAGGTAGGTGCAGACCTGCGGTGACTGAAACCCCAGGACCCACGCACGGCCCCTGAGCCTCAGCAGACGCACCCCTCGCTCCCCTCCGTGACAGCGAGTGACTCTCACAGGAACTGGCGAGCACCCAGGCCTCCTGAGCGCCCAGGCACCTGTCAGGCCCCGCGTGTGGCTCCTCCTCTGAGCACGACCGGCCGGCTAAGGGTCCGGGAACCGCCTCCAGGGCGAAGATCCCGACCAGCAAGACTCAGAGGCAGAGAGAGGGTAGCACTTTCCCGCGGTGACACAGCTCAGGACAGATGCCTGGAGACCTCCCGAGCTGAGTCTGCGAAACCCGGGTGCCCTCCACCCGCAGGTGCCCGATCCCCAGCGAGGGACGCGGACAAGAGCTGCTCCCGTCAGACCACAGGCTGGTGACAGAGAGAGCGTGTGTGTCTCCCATCTGGGCTCTTTCCTGCCCTGCGAGTCTCTAGACCAGTGGTTCTCAACCTTCCTCATGCCGTGACCCTTTCATACAGTTCATGTTGTGGTGACCCCCAATGTCATTGTTACAAATTGAACATCATTAAAGCATAGTGATTAATCACAAAAACAATATGTCATTATCTATGTGTTTTCCGATGGTCTCAGGCGACCCCTGTGAAAGGGTCGTTCGACCTCCAAAGGGCTCGAGACCCACAGGTTGAGAACCGCTGCTCTAGACCTTTTCCAACTCGAACTGTCCCGATAAGCAAGAATTTACGTTTTTTCCTTCCCACAGGGCTGTGAAGAATAGACAATTATGGCTCTAGCATCAGTGATGGTGAACCTGTGACACGCGTGTCAGAGGTGACACGCGAACTCATTTTTTGGGTTGATTTTTCTTTGTTAAATGGCATTTAAATATATAAAATAAATATCAAAAATATAAGTCTTTGTTTTACTATGGTTGCAAATATCAAAAAATTTCTATATGTGACACGGCACCAGAGTTAAGTTAGGGTTTTTCAAAATGCTGACACGCTGAGCTCAAAAGGTTCGCCATCACTGCCCTGGCTGGTGTGGCTCTGTGGATAGAGCATCAGTCTGAAGGACTGAAGGGTCCCGGGTTCAATTCCGACCAAGGGCACATGCCTGGGTTGGGGGCTCCATCCCCAGTAGGGGGCGTGCAAGAGGCAGCTGATCCATGATTCTCTCTCATCATTGATGTTTCTCTCTCCCTCTCCCTTCCTCTCTGAATTCAATAAAATATATATTAAAAAAAAAAGAATGGAAAATTATGCTTGTTTTGTGAGTGTATTTTAACACAACTTTCTCCTGCCGGTTCCCACGTGCCAGCCAGCAACCCAGCCTCCAGGTCCGGCCACGGGCACCTGGACTAGAATCCGGCCCCGCCCGGGTCCTCGCTCCTGTGGGGGCAGGTCCACTGCCACGCGCCTCTGAGTCGGTCCACGGTGACCGCCCAGCTTAGACACCGCAATGTTCCGTTTCCCAGGGCGGCCGCCACGGTGAGCATCGCCACAGGGACAGCCACTGCCCGGGTGGGGCTGCGGGAAGCAGGTGGCCCAGGCCAGGCCAGGCCCAGCCACTCGGTACTCACTGGTCGTGCCTGGTGTCGGGGATGGCCCTGTCCATCCGCAGCTTGTCGCTCTCCACTTGGTTGAACTTGTTGCGGGCGTAGGGGTCCTGCCCGGAGCGGACCATGGTCCCCCCGACGTACGCTTCCTGGTTGAAGTCTCGCCACCGCACTTTGCCTGTGAGGAGCAGAGCACAGGGCGTGGGACGGGGCACGGGGACCAGCGGAAGGGCGCACCCTGGGGACAGGGCCACATCCAGGATCAGCGCCCAGCCCGGCCGGTGTGGCTCAGTGGGTGAGCATCGACCTATGAACCAGGAGGTCAGGGTTCGATTCCCAGTCAGGGCACATGCCCGGGTTGCGGACTCCATCCCCAGTGTGGGGCGTGCAGGAGGCAGCCGGTCCGTGATTCTCTCTCATCATTGATGTTTCTCTCTCTCTCTCTCTCCCTCTCTGAAATCAATACAAATATATTTTAAAAACAAATAAAGGAACAATGATGAAAATCTATGAAAATGAACCTTCCAAGGATCAACACCACAAAACACATGGACACCCAAGTGCTCAGTCACACACGTGGGTCTCAGATTAGAGACCTCTGGGCACTGACAGATGCCCCCTCCGGAGACCTCCGGGCATAGACCTGCCACCACCCGCAGGTGGACCAGGGCAGGGAATGCCTTTGCCGGGGCGGGTCCCACGGGGCCGGGGCAGCAGAAGACTCGCGATTCTGCACTGGCCTCCTGACTGAGCTACAAGTCTTCCCTCCAACCCTCCCGGGAAGACGGGCTTAATGAACTGCAAACCCCGTGGACACGGAGCAGCCGGTCCTGGGAAAGTGGCCAAGAAGGGAAAGAGAATATATTTTAAATCAAAGGACAAAGCTCTCAGATTTATTTATGGCCTCCTGGTCGGCGGCCAATTGAATGCCATTTCACTATGCTTAAAAGGGAAAAAAAAATCCCCGATATTCTCCCTCTAAAAGGTCATTACGCGACAGCATGAAAGAGACGCCAGGAGGACAAACAAATATATCCATTTAAATGACGGGGGCCCGCGAGGAGCACTTCGTCATGTGTCACGGGATATCTGGCGAGATAGAACTTTGCTCGCCGTGAGAAACAGTCTGCTGAAAGAAGGATCCTGCCCAATTCTTAACCTTTTTTTTTTTTGGAATTGTCACCTGAGGATATTTTTCCATTGATTTTTAGAGTGAAAGGGAGGGAGGAGGGGACGAGAGAGAGAAACATTGATGCGAGAGAGACACACCTATTGGTTGCCTCTCACACGTACCCTGACCCGGGCAGGGGATCGAGCCTGCAACCGAGGTACATGCCCTTGACTGGGAATCGAACCCATGACCCTTCGATCTGAGGGCTGACGCTCTAACCATTGAGGCAAACTGGCCAGGGCCACAGTTCATTTTTAAGGATGAAAAAAAAAAATAGAAAATTCAAAAGGTGGCTAAAAACTATTTAATAGAAAATATAAGAAAATAAAAATCGGATGTTATGGGTTAAATACGCTCAATGTAGGTAAAATTATTGGTGCCATCAAAATAACTTAAAAAAACACCATGACACGGTCTGGCTTGCATTGTGAGGTGCACTCCTGGCTTGAAATCAAGGAATAGCCAGACCTTTCTTTTCTAAAGTTTAAATAGAAGCGCTGCGTTTTCCTCTGTGTGTGACCGTGTCTAAATGTCATTGTCAGCCAGGCCAGCGTGGCTCAGTGGTTGAGCGTCGACCTATGAACCAGGAGGTCACGATTTGATTCCCAGTCAGGGCACATGCCTGGGTTGCGGGCTCCATCCCCCGTGTGGGGCGTGCAGGAGGCAGCCGATCCATGATTCTCTCTCATCATGAATGTTTCTCTCTCTCTCCCTCTCCCTTCCTCTCTGAAATCAATAAAAATATATATTTTAAAACGTTGTGACTTGGTACATCCCATCCTATGTTTTCTATTTCGTTCTACTTTTCCTTTCAACAGATTTTGGTCACCTCCCCACAGACGCACTTCACCGCCCACTGACGGGCCTGAAGGAAGTCGGCAAACCCCTGCTCTCCGTGTCTCGCCGCGTCTGTCCGCCTGCTCTGTGAAGCCCAGTCTCCACCCCACAGGCCCCGTGCTCCCATGCCACCTCCGGCTCATTCCCAGCTGGTGGCAAAAGGACTTCCCGACCCCCGGCCGCCCGCCGGAGGCTGGCCGGGCCCCGGAGCGGCCGTACCTGGAGGGAGGGTCTCCACACTCTGTCCTTTCTCTTCCATGTTGCTGTGGTGCAGGTCTTTCTTCTTCATCGGGTCAATGTCATTCCAGTCCTCCTGGGGGGACACAGACACCCAGTGAGTCACGGGCTCTTCAAGCACAACTCTGTCCTCCAGGCCCCCACACACGGAGTCTCGGGAGGCCCATGGCCCTGGGGACGCGATCATGAGACGCACTCCATCTCATCTCCGGGACCTGCACCCCGACAACCTCTCCGCGGGTAGAGGTGCAAGGGGAGAAAGAGTGGGAATAGCTGTTCTAAGAGAGGATCTGCAGTTCTCCCTTCATTTTATAATTGTCCTAGAGGCCCGATGCACGAATTCGTGCACCAGTGGGGTTCCTCGGCCTGGCCTGCGGGATGGGGCCGAAACCGGCTCTCCGACATCCCCCGAGGGGTCCCAGGTGTGTCCGGCTGTCTTGCTCAGTCCTGACTGGCCGGACTGCAGCAGCAAGCTAACCTACCAGTGGGAGCGTCTGCCCCCTGGTGGTCAGCGCATGTCATAGCGAGAGGTTGAGCGGCCTTAGCATATCATTAGCATATTCACTCTGGTTGAACGGCTGACTGGACGACCAGACCCTTAGCATATTAGGCTTTTATTATATAGGATTGTGTATCTATGGGACAGAAATACTCTGCACAATTCCAGGGGTTTGAGGGTCTGTGGGAGTTGGGGAAGGGAGTAGGGAAAGTGGATTAAAGAAAAGAATTTAATGTGCTTCAATTAAAGCCATTAACATCAGGGCAGCTCTGCAGACATCTTCAATGGCTTCAAGGACGCGCTCAGACCACCATGTCCTCAGGGCCCTCCTGAGAGGCGGTGAGATGATTTAATTCCACCAAGTAACAGCGGAGGGAGGGCCAGGACCCCCGGAGCCCTCCTAGGCCTCTCCTCTAATAGGACCGCCAACGGGACGCATCTGCAAATGAAGGGCTTGCTGCGAACCCGGAATAAGATACAAGCTCTGGCAGGATTTATCCAGGTCGTCTGCACAAACCACTGACTCTATCAACACGAAATCAGAGTAAACAACAAGTGCATGAGCACAGAGCTAGCGATCTTCTCCCATCACTCGGAATCTGACTCCCGTGAACACAATAGCAGCTGAAAGGTTTCTGTCTACAACCCAAGTCGGAACTACCCCGCGGCTGGTCACTCGCCCACAGACCTCTGGGAGCCCAGTGCAGGCGACCAGCCGTCTCCCCAGCTGGGTGCTCACAGGATGGTCTGCAGCACGAAGTCCCCCTAACCCCCCCGCCGGCAGGGCAGACCCTGCCAGCTGTGCGGGCTGGTCAAGGGCCATTCCCTCCGCCGTCCGACAGAGGCCGTGTGCTGTGTGATGTGCATGAGCTGACCACTGGCGGCTTTGGGGCTCTTTAAAACGTAAAGGGAAGCCTGGCCGGCCTGACTCAGGGGTTGAGCGTCGACCTGTGAACCAGGAGGTCAGGGTTCGATTCCCGGTCAGGGCACATGCCTGGGTTGCAGACTCGATCCCCAGTGTGGGGCGGGCAGGAGGCGGCCGATGGATGATTCTCGCTCATCCTTGATGTCTCTTATCTCTCTCTCTCCCTTCCTCTCTGAAATCAATAAAAAAAATCTATAATAATGAAAGCATAATATGCTAATTAGGCTGGACAGCCGAACGACCTTCGGGACAGAAGCCGGGGCTGCAAGGGCCGAGCCCCTTGCACAAATTTCGTGCATCTCACCAAGCACCCCGAGTTCACGTGGGACGGGATCTGGGAGGTGTGTGGCTTTGCCCCCTATGAGCGGCGTGCCATGGAGCTGCTCAAGGTCGCGAAGGACCAGAGGGCCCCGAAGTTCATCAAGAACAGGGTGGGGACACACATCGGTGCCGAGAGGAGCTGAGCGACGTCCCCGCGGCCGTGAGGAAGGCAGCAGCCGAGAAGGACGGAGCCCCATCCCCTCTGTGTAATAAAACCTGTTCAGAGGGAAAAAAATGAAAGAAGAGCCCGAGGCAACTGGCCCAGATCCATGCGCTGCCCACATGCCAGGCCGGCGCTGGGCTGGACCTGCCCCAGGGCCCAGCCGGGGAGGGAGAACAGCTAAACCACAGGCATGTATACAACGTGCCCGCCACCGTGGCGTCACCAGTCACTGGGAGCCGCCGGTTAAAATGTCTCCTCTCTCTTATCTTCTCTTCTTCAGCTTCAGAAAACCGTACGCTTACACTAATATTTGTTTCCAAAGGTTGCTCCTCCCGCCCACACACTGTCCCTCGTCGGGTCATCATGGGAAAGTTTTGGGGGAAGGTGACCGGCTACAATGGACTCAGGCTCTGGAGTCGAATTCCAATTCCTTCCCTGGCGCTCACAGCCCACAGGAGTCATCCCTCCCGCCCATGGTGATGTAGCCAGAACTACATGAGCTAACCTGCTACCAGGACGGGGCTAGGAGGGTCCGGCACATAGTAGGTCCTCAGTAAAACGTGAGGACCTACTGCGTGCCACAGAACAGCCTCAGCAGTTCCGAGGCATCCAACTGACAGCAGAGGAAACGAAGGCCCACGAAATCGCCTGAAACAGAGTGGGGAGTCTCAGGGGGAGGGAGGGGCGGGGAGCATGGGGGGGAGGTAATCAACCAAGGACCTTGTATGCATATATGCGTAACCCATGGACACAGACAATGGGGCAGGGCGGGCTGGAAGGGGTCCATGGGGGGGAAAAGGGGATTTATGTAATACTTCCAAAAATAAAGAATTTAAAAAAAAGAAATGAAAGCAAGGAAAAGAAATCGCCTGAGTTTCCCAGGATCCCATAGTTCCTGCTGAGCAGTCCCGGGGCCTCTTCCTCCCGCAGACCCCGAGTCTGGAACGCGGGGAGCACGCCAAGACTCGCAGACTCCACGGGGTTCGTCCCAGCCGCTGCCCGTCTCACCTCCACTGCACACGAAGCTCTCTGAGATTCTGACGGTTGTCGTTTTGTTTTTAATGCTCAGAGTTCTGAAGAGCCTGTGTCCTGTTCCTTTCTCCCTGTGAGTCAAACAGTCGTGCAGCCACTGGCTTTGAAACTAGAAAGGACTATCCCTGGCTGGTTTGGGCTCTTGGCTCAGTGGATAGAGCCTCGGCCTGCGGATCAAAAGGTCCCCAGTTCGATTCCGGTCAAGGGCACAGGCCCAGGTTGCAGGCTCGGTCCCCAGTGGGGGGTGTGCAGGAGGCAGCCCATCCGTGACTCTCATCATTGAAGTTTCTAGCCTCTCTCTCCCTCTCCCTTCCTCTCTGAAATCAATCAATAAAAAATTTGAACGGGGTTCGGATAGGCTACGAAGCTTGTGTTGTTTTCGTTGCATTAAAAAACAAACAAACCAGAAAGGACTAGACTCAAATTCAGCTTCTAAAACTTTCAAAACGACCCATCTAATTCTCAGTGGCGTTATCCAGAACGCTAAGCCGAGAGGGGATTAGAGGAAGGGTGTGGAACGCCTGGAACATCGCACCTGTCCGATACAGGAGCCTCATCGCCAGACCTGGAGGACGCCTTAAACCGGATGAGCTAAGCACCGGAAGGAGCTGGGTTTGCACGGTTGTGAGTTTGCACGGTTGTGAGACACAGCCAAGCTCCCTGGAGTCAAATCCAGCAGAACGCACACCCTCCCTTCCATTCCCGTCCCCGCAAACTGATGCAACCGCACCTTGTCCTGCCTCACCTGCCAAGTCAAGGACCCGGGAGGGAGGGGCGGGATTTTCACTTAAAATAATAAAAATAAAAACAATCCTGATACTGAGTGTTACCGAAGCTTCAAACCCCACGGTCCTCCTAAAGGGACGAGGGAGCTGCAAACAAACTAGAAATACAAAAGAAATGGGACGTCAAGACGGAGGAAACGGGGGAGCAGAAATGCCGAGGGCGACTTGCCCTTTAACGCTGAGCGCCCCGGAGACAGAAGGAAAAGGAGTAACAGGGAGGAGCATTAAGACACAACGGGACTCGGACGGTCGGTCGGTCGGTCGGTCGGGGCCAGGAGAACGGGACCAGAACTCGGTTGGGGCGAATTTCCGGTAGAAAATCCTACATGGTCAATAGCATCAGTGTCACCAACACCGAAACCCTGACACCGATCGCAGTACCGTTTGCCAGGACGGGGAGCAGCAGTCGGTGGGAGGAGGGGAGGAGGGACTATGAGGAGAAGACGGTGGTCGCCCTAGAAGAGACGAAGGTCTGACCAGTGAGCAGAGACTGGGGGCCCTGGCCCAGGTGGGGGTGGGGGGGAGATGGCTGTTGGACTGTGCACATCCCCCGCAGAGCTGTGACTTCACGTCCCCGCCCGCCACCCCCCCAACGCTCGACAGTCATTCCAGGTCAAAAGGCAGGAATAAGCGGTTCATCGGCCAAGACCTTCAGAGCTCAGAGCAAACTGGCCAACCAGGCTGGGCCCAGGGCCTGGGAAAACGCATCTCCCCGGATTCCGTCCCGGAGGCACTGTGATCCCACGGGTCCCTGGTGGAACCGGGACTGAAGGAGGAGGGAGCCCTGGCTGGTGTGGCTCAGTGGAGAGAGCGTCGGCCTGCGGATTGAAGGGTCCCGGGTTCAATTCCGGTCAAGGGCACATGCCTGGGTTGTGGGCTCCATCCCCAGTAGGGGGCATGCAGAAGGCAGCCGATGCATGATTCTCTCTCATCATGGATGTTTCTATCTCTTTCTCTCCCTCTCCCTTCCTCTCTGAAATAAATAAAAATATATATTTTTTAAAAGAGGAGGGATACTGGGGCTGGAGCCAGCCAGCCTGCAGGTGATGGGCAGCCGCCAGGGTCCCTTCCGGAGCCGGCCAGCGTGCGCCTGGCCCTGCGCCCTGGGATGCATCCAGCTCACACCTTCGCCACGCTCCGTGGGCAGCCACCGTGAGAGCCAAGGTGGCCCCAGGCCATGGGGCTCCCTGAGGCCACAGCCACCCCAGGGCTCCCGCAGGCTCCCTGTGTGGTCTTCCCGCTGGCCTGGCGGCCTGGAGCCTGGAGCCCGCCCGACGGCCAAGCACAGAGGAAGTGACCATCCCCTCCTTTTCCCCCGAGAAAAGCCAGGTTTCGATGTTTCCTGCAGAAC